CCATCTGATTGGTCAGTTCTTGTGCTGTACCAATCTGTATTGCTACTGAGATTGTCCCCGTTGATCATCTCCGTCGCAATACAGAAAATATTGGTACGGAGGGGACAATCTCAGTAGCAATACAGAGGATCACACGATAAAAACGTTATTGAATGATTTGAAGTGCAATACAGGATATAATCTGTCTCGATATTCTGTATTGGCACTCGACTTCGTCTCGTTCCAATACGGAATTTCTCGAGCAGAATATATCCTGTATTGCACTTCAAATCATTCAATAACTTATAGTGTTACAAAACGGAATAAGAAAATAATACATTTACAGTATAAGTACACCAGTCGCAATGAAAACAAATCACAAATCCCCCACCCGTGATCTAACGTGTAACAAATTTGAAAAGAATTGGAAATGGTTGCTATGGTAACACAAATGGATACTTTTGTTCTTTCTTGACATAATGTTTTGCTTGTGATTTATTTGACAAAGTTATGTTCCATTTGGGTTATTTTCAAAAATTCAGTGTTTTAAGGTATATTTATATCATGATATTATCTTAACTGTATGTTAATATGTCATGGGGACTAAAGCTACATTGCAAAGATTGAAAATACTAGTACTAGTATGTTTTAATCATTCACCTTCTATCTTTCATGACTTTAAGTTATTTTAGAGAATTTTGAAAAATTATATTTCGGGGAAAAGTTGCAAGCTTTTTTATTTCTCAAATATTCAAATCCCCTACCATTTACAAATAAAAGTTGAATTTTTTCAACATCTAATATTCCTCTCCGTAGTGCAAAACACATGATCTTTTAACACTGGCATGTAGCGATTATAGCGGTCCTGTCTTGGCTTATTGAATTGTTACGAAGTTACGTATGCGGTGCGGAAGTTAGAGAGCAAATGACCATCATTTATGCAGTAAAATTGAGATTAGGCCATTGGAGTATTTGTTTCATGCATTTGTAAAACATTACCCACTCATAGGTCATACTTATCTTTAAACCAATAACTCAAATATATGCCCTTGTACACCGATCACCTGTTGAAATTAATACAGGCCGATTTCAACAAATGTAAACGGCGATATATTTAAAATCGTATTCAAGCATGACCACGTCCCAACTTCTTTTGTTTTCTTTACAACTAAGCTATGACTGCAGTCTATTCAGTGTTGCGTATCGAACCTTGTTTATTATAAAAATAGTGCAACAACAAGCAGAATTCACACATTTACCTTACACTTATTCTCAACTGAAGACATTGAATTTATCTCTTAGGTATTACATTATAAATATCTTAAGATGCAGAATACGAAAATAGAGGCTTAGGCCCAACTTTGTATGAATTTTATGAGAATAGTCTGATTTTAGAGAAATGAAAAGAAAAATGTCCACACCCTACACAAAATATTGATGGTTCCCCGGGAATACGTATGTGCTGCTTGTATATTAGAATCGTATTCCAGTTACAGAAAGAAGTACATATCATGGTAAACTATATACAACAGTTATGCACTTGGAGGTTTTGGATACAGGGAATATCCCGAGGGATATATAATATATCTTCCCTTGGTCCCTTCGGTCCCTCGGGAAGATATATTGTATATCCCTCGGGATATTCCCTGTATCCAAAACCTCTAATTGCATAACCCCTATATATTGGCCAAGGGATAATCCCAATATCCTGAACCGCGACTATAGGATAATATGTTTATCCCATACCAATCTTGGTCATCTGGTTCACATTGTTAAATCGTGGAAACATTTTAGAATATTCATGTCCAGTTTTGTTTTCTTGGCCGTGGGCGGATTTTCATGTTCTCTCAAATATTCCCATATTTATTTTCTCGAATTTTTTATTGATTAAGTGGATGCTCTTTCCTTTTTTTAACTATCAAACAGACCCTGATTGTCTGTGTTTTCTCCATTGCCGTTTACAGTCATTCCGCGAACGTTACAAATTATGAACAAATATACAAGCGGCGATTATGACGTAGCGGGAAGATATACTATATCTGCCCGCTTGGAGCGGGACGTAAAGCTTTATCCCATGGTTGCAAGGAGGATATAGATCGAATATCACATGATGATATATTTGATATGTGGATCAAGATATCATATTTTAGCAAACAATTTACAAACCATCAAATATCACTTTTAAACTATCGAATATCACATCTTAATGTAGGAATATCCTATGGCTCTGAAAAAATATCACTTATATCCATGAGTGGATATTGATATCTTCGCGAGTGAGCGCAGCGAATGAGTGAAGATACTGATATCCATGAGTGGATATAAGTGATATTTTTGAAAAACCATAGGATTGTCCGTTTATCCCATTGGGAATTATTATCCAGTGAACATTGAATAGTCAGATAAATTGCAATGGAAATTCCATTTCGTCTGACATTTTGATTGCGATAATTCAACGAACGTCATATACGTGACGTAACAGAGTGGTGTGTATTTAATGCGAACGCCGTAAAAACAAGATCCCAAAAAATAAAAATATATAATAAATATATAAACAATCGTTTTGTTGAATTAATAAAAACAATTGAAAAAATCAAAACCATCGAATATCACCTTTGAAACCGTCGAATATCACTTTTGAAACCATCGAATATCACCTTTCAATAAGTAATATTCGATGGTTTCAAAAGTGATATTCGATGACTTGGGAATTGTTTGCTAAAATATGATATCTTCATCCACGTATCAATTATATCTTCACATGATATTCGATATATATCCTTGTAACCATGGGATAAATAAGGGTTATGTACTGGGAGGTTTTGGATATGGGGTTTTTCCAGAGGGAGATATGCATATCTACCTGAGGGACCGTAGGGACAGAAAGTAGATGTGCATATCTCACGAGGGATGAACCCAATATCCAAACCGACCGTATATAACTGCTTTATCCTATACCAAGTAGAGTTTTCAGTAGTACAAGGTGTAAAAAATAAACAAATCATTCATATGCAAAGTCATTTTATTGCATTTCCACTTTTTTTGAAGCGGGAAGATACGCCCCGAAGCTGGAAGATATGCACCGAAGCGGGAGATATGACGGGAGATATGGAGGTTCTTGATATGGAAACCTCAAAATCAGGATACGGGATATATCTTACCAACTTATCTCCCTAAAACCCTACTTGGCATAGGATAAATCAAGATAATTTCTACTCGCATCTAGTCTATTCCACATGTTTGGGAAAAGTGTACAGGAAAATCTCCATTTTCAATTGATGTATGATCAATATATACGAGTCGAATGTATTCTCGTGTGCATTACAATATCCACATTGAAACATTTTTGGCCTGCAATGGACGTATAATGAATTAGAATATGAGGCCGTGTTATCATTCTAATGTAAAGTCATGGTATTTTCTGTGGTATTGGGTTGCAAGTTAATATCAGATTCAATGCAAATTAATCATCTAATATCAGATGCGCGATCAGTCCAATAATCTAATTTCAGGTCATCAGTTCGATATCTAGCACTTGTTCTAACGACACGGTATTACTAGGCTATCATATTATAAATACACACACATATAAAACAATCAAACTGGTACACGATATAAGCACGACTGCTCTTTCAATTGAGTATAAATGTTGATAAACTTTCCCGGAAGCCAAGACATACACGTTTAGACGATGCTATTTTCAGTTCAGTGTAAGAGTAAATGCCCGGATATCGAGGCTTTTTCGTGTAAAGTTTTAACCAAGCATCTAAAATCGGGTTATATTGCGTGTAGAATTTATCGATATCAGGGCCGCTACATGCCAGTGTTTTAAGTACCCTTGTAAAGATTGAACATGTCACCCTACGCGAAGAGATCGCACAAATGTCGAATGACAGTGGTAGAAACTAGCCACGACAACTAAAGTTGACTTTGCTTAGCACTTAGCAGTAATATAGTACTTAGCCATTTTTCATTTACATAGCCATTTTTCGTCATCGAAATTCTGATCGCCGATAAACATACATTTTGCATTGGACATAAATAATGATAACATTTTTATGTGTCGTCGATCGGGAATTTATCGCAATTTATTGCGGTGAACTCAAATTGTATATCTAAGCTATTGTTTTATCTTTACTATGCGTTTGATTACATTGAAAACACACGACGCGCATAATTTAATCTTCCACTTCTGAAATAGCTATGGAATTGGTGCGATCTCTTCGTAAAGGGTGAATTTGCCACTTACATGTTTTAGCATAAGTGCACCCTAAGTGACATCATCATGGTCTCATTTAGGGTGCAAAACCTTTTTGAAATGCTAAACTTTTAATATTAAGTTTTGAATATACCTATATAACACCAGTGATTTGTACATTAAACGTACGCTTATAATGTGAGATGACATACACCTCTGATTGGTCAAAATCGATAAACAAAAATGGCGGATTCAAAATTTTCTAATAACGCTTCGAATAACGTTATGTTAATTTCTGGCGTGTTAAACCAATGTCATAGCTTCTTATTTCACATCAAGATTAAGAAAGATGTAAGGAATATGCTAACATCGATTAAAACATCACGACGACGCGTTATATTCGAAAACGCTAGTCATCGGTAAAGCTCTGGGGGTTTCCCCCCTTTTAGTGTCACGGTGAAGACATATACAATTATATATTTACAAGAAAGGCAATAGCCTCCAGTCGTCTCCGGCTTATAAAACGCTTTTTCCTATCAAAGTCCCGGGATCAAAGTATTTACTGTATTTGTTGAAATTACAAATACTGGACTGTTTTTATTATTAAAAAGAATAAAGCAAGATATAAATACAATTTCTTTTTAACAGATTCAATTGGAATTAGGGCTAAGGGAAAGTCTCAAAAATACTTGAAATTATGAAAAATCATAGCCAATTTGAAGTACGATCAAGGATATCAAACACGTTTCTTACACGTATACTCAAACATGTACAATTAACCATCTATTCTATTACAGTTCGAAATTGTTTTCTGTAAATGTGGTCATATCTCTTGAAAAGCTTTATTTGAAATTCCGTTCTGCATCGAGGAGGGAGCGTTGTCTGCAACTGAGAATATTTTATTAGTTATAACACTACTTTGTACGCTATCGCTATTTGTAATCGTTATATTTTCTTCTTGTTCCTCCACGTGCTTCAAAAGTTTGGCCCCAGCCAGTGTCAGCAGAAAGAAAATGAAGATTCCGGCCACAACGATTCCCACAGCTAGACCAATCAGATCAGGGGTCAAAGGTCGAATGACTACGAATGAGCCAATCAGTGCTGCAGTAGTAATTATGTAGATCAATGCAGCCAACACCAGGCGGTGAAGATAGCTCCCGATAACAGATCCCATAGGTGCTCCGATGACAACGATTGGGATGCAAACTAACAGATAATGAAATGCATCAGTTGAAGCATCGTAGTGTATAACTGATCTCCAATACGTAGCAAATGCAGTATTGATACCCATGAGTATAACAGATGTTGGAGTTGCCGTCTTTTCAGTTACACGGAACAGTAATGTCATGACGCTGAAACTGACTATGTCCAATCCACTGCCGGCAAGAGCAGTAAACATTCCCCCAACAAGTGCAGCCAAGAATAAAACAAAACCTTTCCATTTGTTCAAGTACGGAACAGCTAGAAATGTTCTTCTATCACGATATCGGTTTAGAAGAAACAATGCGAATGCAAACGCAAAACAAAATGCTGTAAACGTGAACTTTTTCTTTGGCGAAGTCATATGCTGGTCGACAACTTCAAAACCAAAGATAGCGCCAAAAACACCTCCGATCGAGCAAATGATGAGGCTGTTCCAATCCACTTGAATGCCCATGAAGTAGATGACAAAGGAGGCGGCTGTCATTCCGCAAGACTGAACCATAAGACTGAAATCTCGGGCGATGTTTGGGGCGACGTCGAGGACAAGTGTCATAACGGGAAACGCTATAACTCCTCCACCAACGCTTGTCATACCTGGAAATTACAATTAACAAGCTATTCACCATTTTGTTACACTGGGCGAAATGGGGTCCTTGAGACCTCTGTCTTTTGTCGGTATTAACAAAAAGATCACGCTGGATAGTACTACATTAGCCAATCAGAATGCTTTGGTTCTAGCAAAGACGTCCAGAAATTGTATCAAAGATTATCACATAGCTATATCGTCAGTCTGTAGTTTTAATAGTAATTACATACTACCCCACACATAATTTCGTGTTAATTTCGTAGTAACACGAAAAATAGGTTGTAGTTTTTAAATGTATTTTTATTTGGTAGTCCTTGTGCGTTTTGTAGTGTTTCCTTACTGGGCAATACGCTCTTGTTCCCAGTACATAAAGGGTGCATTCAAATATTATAAATTGACAGCCACCATCTAGTTTTTCTAGAATTTGGAGTTACCCAAATATTTTTTTAATTTCAAAATGTTTCTTTTGTTTATCCCACATCATTGTAAAACTAGTTTTGCGTATCAATTTGTGACAACTGATGTTTCCCCGACGCACTGGGAACAATATGAGCGTCATAAGTTGAGGTTTTCATAATGTATATCTGTACTCGACGAAAATATTTTGATAATTGCTAATACGCTTATTACAAAATGATATATTGGTTCAGAATGTGAAAGTCGCAAAAAGAATCACATGGCTAGTCAAGGTGTATCCAATTCCAGCCAATCCTGACAGAAAATTTCTGAGTGACAGCATTGGTTTTCAACTATAATTGAAAGCCCATGGTGACAGCAGTGCGTGAAATAATCAATAACGCATTTGTTGTGTATGGTTACTAAGGTGAGGAGATGTTTTGATGTTTTGCCAATACTTGACCCTTGCATAAGGTTTAATTGAAAATATGTTATTTTAGTGATTTTGTATCTTTTAAGTGATTTTGTAGAAACTATTTTACAATGTGTGAAAAGAATTTAAGCCCAAGACTCGATGCATTGTAGCTGCATCATTCCACTCAGGCGTTGTTTCCTAAACTTTGCATTCCCGCTGCGCGGTCATGCAAGGATTTGGAAACAATACCTTCAAGGAATGATTCAGCAAACAATGTACTGAGTCCAAGGCTTAAGTCCTTAAGTATTCCGCACATAGTTGTTGTGAACATCATGTGTATAACCTTTACTACCTGCAATGAGAGATCCGAACACCATGGTGACTGACATCTCATATCGTTCCACAAATAAGTACCACATGTTCCACTTGATCATATAGGCCAGCCAGAGAAAATACACAACAGTAGCGCTTATTGCAGGTCCTACAAACCTCCTATATTTCACAAGAGCTATCGTATACCAGGGTGCGTCAGATGGCAATGCCTTGAGAGCTTCTGCATGCTTCACGTCCAAAACTTGCCCTTAAAAAGTAAAATTAGTTTCATTTAAATACAAGTTGATTTGATTATACGTTAAGATGATACACTAGAAGGCCGACAATTCATGGCACTGGAAGTTAATGTCAAGGTCAACTCTGAGCTATGGATTCTCTTGGGCGATAATACTTTATTAAGGAATTAGACATCGCACACGTTTCTCTCCATTCATACCTCATTTTGAAATAATTCGCAATGAATATCCAGAAAGTAGTGCTAGGTGTCTACCTTCATATTCATATAAACTGGGTATATGAAAATTTGAAAAAAAGCACGACAGACAGTCAGACAGTTGTTACATATCTGTCCTAATATCGAACCAAAACCCTTAAAAAAAGTGCGTAGTTGTAAATTCGGCATTTTAGAACTACTTGTTTACGCCCAATCTTATTTAGTAGTGTGCGATAGTGTTTCCTTACTTGGAAATACGCTCATATTATTCCCAGAACGTCAGGAGAACACTCAATTGTTATAAATTGACAGCCATCCATCTAGTTATTCTATAATGTCGGGTTAACTAAAAATTAAAGAAATATTTTGATTTTGAAGAATAAATTTTGGTTAACCCCACATTATTGAAAACTAGAATTTTATGATCATTTTTGATGTTGATGTGTTTATGTTGTGAGTCTTCTTGTTCACGGCATCTTAGAATGACGTAGTTTAACCCCCTTATTATAGCCCAAAGCTTAGAAAGGACTTATTTTGAAAGTTCTGTCGATGTCACCCATAGATAGTTGGCGTTCTATGAATATCATAATTATTTACCTTTCATAAAAAACTTTCGAAACCATTTTGCACATTTCGTTGAACAATTTAATTTGTTCCCTGTAATATTTTCCTCAATTACTAGCTGACTGGTACTTTCAAATGTAGGCATTTCTTTGCTTCGGTTCTTGATTTTTGTTCCATTCATTGAATCCATAGTCAGACTTCACACGTAGATCTCCCTGCTCGGAAGTTGGTCAATCACTTTAAATATTAAGGCCTCTCATTTACTTCCAATAAAAACTGCCCTTATAAGACAAGATCAACTTGTTTTGATGGTAAATAATATAAAAACTAGTGCAAATACTTTTCTACGCCTGGATTAAATTGTAGATTAATTTCTTTAAAATGTATTTGACTAGGGTAATTTAGTTTTCTCAAATGTGAATAAACAATAGTCCATTTTTGGGTCGTATATTGGAGAATGCATTGAAGATTTAGAAAGCTTAATCATATATTTCAAATGTATTCATTTATTTATTGGCACGGCCACTGATTATCAGGGCATTGCCTAAACTTTTATAGCAATAACAACATGTCAGCAGAGAATATATTAAAATGTATAAAGAAGAACATGTACACGTTCAAAAGTAAAGCTGAGTTATTTTGTCATTATGATAGTTTCAGCTATGTTTATTTTTATGCCATGATTTAAAGGTAAAAAAACATGGGAAAAGGCATTGAAGGTTAAGAGCAATGTTTTTCTGGGGGTCAACTTTGACTTTGTTAACAAAAACTTTTATTTCCTATTTATGTTTTATCGGGGTTTAATGCTTAAATGATATTGTTTTTGGGTTCCTACCAAGGTTATTGGAGCGTGTGCAACATAGTAGAAAGTACAGGTTCGGTCGAAACAGTGCAAATTAAATAGTATACCGGGTGGGCATAAAAATGGGCCTTACTTAGACACACACCATCTCGAAAACCCTCTTATTAATGCAACAGAATGTTGTAAAAGGCAAGCCGCCGAATGTCCTGTTTAAGAGCATCTATTCTTACAATTGAAAATGGATTCAAGCAATACTGTCTCACATGAATATAATTATTGAGACAAAACAAATGGGTATGTTAGCTTAGCTCTACATGTGTTATCTTCGATAAGAGACAATAGAATGATAATCATTCATTTCATTTTCGAAAGTAATCATGTAATATAGCATGTAGTTGATTTTAGGCCGAAAAAGTTCATTGTTTTCGGTACTTTAATCCCCATGGTTTTCTTTTTTTCTTTTTTTGGGGTAAATTATGTTTTACAGTACATTGTAAATAAGTCATAAAAGTTTTCATAAAATGCTGCATTTTTGTGAAAATTGGGTCATAATTTGGGGAAATCGGTGATGGTGGATATATAGATGGGAGGTGGACAGATTAAGAGATAATGCAATTGACTTTATTCTCATTCTATTTTCTCTTATTGAAGATAACACATGGGGCTTAAATACCCATTTGTTTTTGTGGTAAAATAAATCTTAGAACTTAAGTTGAGGCTGTCTAAAAATGCTTGCAATAACGCATGTACACATGGTTTTTTAAGGATGAATAAAAAGTGCGAGGAATGCAACTTTAGATGCCGTAATAGGGGAAAACAACCTAACTTTTCTCCATAGAGATATGTACATGATGTATATATTAAATTGACAAAGTTATAATCATAATTTCTCAAGTGTCAAAAACTTCCCATCAGCTTATCATCCTCCAAAGCAGGTGTCCAGAATCCATAGAGTAGAGTAATAGGGTAATGTAATAGTGTATTATTACATTTTGACACAGTGTGCTCTTGATCCGGTCATATTTCTTGAAATGCTTTGTTCGGTTGTCCATTCTCTACCGGGGAAGTATCATTGTCTGCAACTGTGAACATTTTGTCAGTCCGTACACTATTTGGTAAACTATCACTATTTCCCATTGTGATTTCTTTTTTCTCTTGTTCTTCCACGTGCTTCAAAATTTTGGTTCCAGCCAGCGTCAGCAGAAAGAAAATGAGGCCTCCGCCAACAACGATTCCCACACCTAGACCAATCAGATCAGGGTTCAAAGGTCGTATGACTACGAATGAGCCAATCAGCGCTGCAGTAGTAATTATGTTGATCAACACCAACACCAACCAACCAACATACTTTTCTCCAGCAAATGTAAACATGACAAGGTAGATATGATTCTCTTTGGTGATAAAAATCTTTCTCCAAAGCTTAATTCCACACTCATAGAATTATCGTCTGAATTTATTAACAAAATCTTGTGACAACAGCTACCTTGCCAAATTTTCTATCATCTGTCATCTCATTTCATCTTCATCATATCTAAACACTACATTATGTTATTGTAATTATTATTACTATTGTACATGTAAAATATTCCACTGTATAAATTGTATCTCCACAAGCCAATAATGTGTAAACTTAAGCTTGTTTTCCATGTTACTTGTATGAAAGATTGTACATTACATATGCTTATGGAAATAAAATAACCTTAAAAAACACAAAAAAAACACCAACAGCCAACACCAGGTGATGAAGATAGCTCCCGATAACAGATCCCACTGATAGTGCTCCGATGACAACGATTGGGACGCAAATAGTATTGTAGCGACCCGGGTTGGCTTTCGATACTTTTGAACTTCCGGTTAGTTTGACCTTCCTGTTGGGGACCTTACACGAAATTTTTGACGCCAACTTTCCCCCGGTTCGCTACTTCCCTTCGCTCTGGAGCGCGATTTTGCCCGCTGCTTTGTGCCATGGTAAGACCTTTATTCTATAATTAAAGGTTCCCTGTAAATCAGGTTTTCAAAATCCATTTAATACTGGGGAAACATACTTATAGCCACTTTCTTGCGGGGTAGTAATTTTATGTAAGGGAGGTCATAGCCTCGCTTTAGAATCACAGCCATCTTTTACCGACACGACAATTTTCCGAAATATCATCCTTTCCACGACAACAAAAGCGAATACTACTGAGAATATTGAGATCTGAGGTTCCTAGAGACGAAGCAAGTGACAATGAGTGAGAACAGGTGGCTCTGGGTATGTTTCCCCCATTAGTGGCGCTAAGAATTTGCCAGATTTGAGTTTTGTCTGTTTTCGCCCGAAACGGCGTGTTTTTGACCAAGGTCGCCATCTTGGATTAAGAGTGGGCGCCTTGAATTTTCAATCATTTTCCACCTTGATTTGGCAATTTCCGAAGCGCCAGGTATCATTTTCCTGGTCTTTGTAACCATATTTTTATATTCTTGAATTCAATTGAGGCGCTGAGCTAATTTCATTTCACATTTTTAGGCCGGAGGTGGCCAGTTCTTTTTGACATAACAAGGCAGAATGTAATTGATTTTTGATTTTGTCACCCTTAGAATCTGTGCCCATCCATACTCTGGAGGGTTGCAGACTGATTTATTCCTAGAGCAAATAGGGCTAAGACCTTTAATCTTGTTTATTTAGGCCATTTAATTGAGCTTTTGAGAGTTTCTGCCAGTTTTCATTCCAATTTTGCTGCTTAGCGCTCATTTGAGTTCAGGGATATTTCACTACCTCAGAGCATAGTATTATTACTGCCTGCTGAGAGTCAGGGTATTTTTGGAACCGTTGAGCGCCAAATTTCACCTAGATTTCACTTAAGCATATATTTTCAAAGAATCTCAATAACTTCAAGGTGAACATTTTGATAAATATACTTTATAAACTAGATCTGAGCTTTTAAACACATCTGAATCTGATTATATAGTATTTCACAGAACCCAGTATTATTTGGATAAAGCATATTTTATTCACTTGTATAATATATACGTTGTGCCTTTGAGAGTTTATAATCATACATGTACTGGTGCTAATATTTTCTGCAATATTGAACTGCTGATATTTTTATACAGATTTTGTATTTGATAACCAGGTGCTCCAGTCGCTCCATCAGGAGCTGGAATTTTGTACCATTTACTTTCTAGGGGCGATTAACTGTCCAACCCATAGCGCTCTGATATCGCCTTTATAGGCTGGATTTTTGTACTTTTATTTTCAGGCGCTTTTGTCTCAGCTAGGCATAATTAGGGTACATTCATAACTTCATAGCTAGATAGTTTTATAGTTGATATTTTTACTAGTCAGGTTCATTATTGTGTCACAGTCAGTGAAAATGTAATTTTGATAACAGATATCTTTCATTTATTTTTGTACATCAAGAGAGGATATTTACAAATAATTAAACAATCATTCTAGAACCTACTTGCTTGTCGTGTTATAGTTTGTGGTAATTGAGCTGGTTAAGATTAAATCCACAAAAAAGATTAAAGCCATTTCAATCATCTTCACATTTTACTGGGTCCCCTGATTCCTTCACATAGCCATTTGTTCAATTAGTAATTTTAGCTTTTAATCCCATTTATAGAGGGCAGGACTGCATAGTCAGCTTTTAACATTACAATTTTGGGTTTCACTTTCAATACATTCTTTTACTTTATATTCTCATCTAAAGGGGGCAGCACCTGACTGAACCACTTAAAACAACACAGCTCCATTCATCTCAATTTCGAACTTGCGCCAACCGTTCTTTTCACGCTACCACAACGTAATTTGTACAGGGGTAACTTTGTGAATAGTTTCTTGTGTATCATTCCCCTGTACGTAGCAGTGTTGGGAGACTGTCCTGAGCTGTTACATTGGTTTTGGCTGTGGGATTTTTGGGTTGTTTGTTTGGCTGATTGTTGTTTGTTTTTGCTTTGTTGATTGATTGGTCTCAATATGGAAGGTGAAATTCCACATTCTGAGTCAACCTACGCTCGGGAGAAGATGGATGTGACTCTCCGGCCTAGTCATGATGATCGTGATAGGGCCGTAACTCCACCGACTGATAGTGACATCACACATACACAATATGATGATGGGGTGGTTCAAATTGGTAAACCAACTAAAGAAGATCCTGCCAGTAATATGTTTGCCAAAGCAGATACAGTGGAACGGCCTGCCTCAGATAGGCGCCCAGAGGGCAGACTACAGATGGTGACGCAGCTGGGCGATTTAGAGCCAGAATCTCGCCTGGATGCGAACACCCACCACTTGATGGCTGCAGCGAGTCACCAGTTACCCCCCTCATCACTTCAACATATGGAACATGGTGAGCATCTGTCAAACAAGGAATTTGGTTCTTCCGATGGTGCCAGTGATACTTCAGGGAGATTACATGAGTCTCCTGGGGGAGCTGTGGATTATTCGCTCCCGCCCCCATTGCATGATGGTCGAACCAAAGGCGCACGAAGGCGAGCGCCCCAGCCGATGTTTGCTCCCTACCCGGATGAATCACAATTCTCTAATACTATGGAGAAATACTACCGAACAATGACGTCACATATAGATGCGCTGAATACTATATCTACTACTTCAAATCCTCATGCAGGCTTGAAAGAGGTTGAACCGGCTCATGTTACCAGAGCCCCGAGTTCCCCATTCGCCTTTTGCCAGTCTGTGCCTACTTGTTATGTTTCAACATCTATCAGACAGGATCCAGCCAGGGCAACAACAAATCAAGTTCCCATGCAGTCGAATGCCTTTCCTGCATATACCATTCCCAAGTGTTTTCCAGATTACCAGCCTGGTATTCATGATGGCTCATATCTGGATGCGCCTTACAGGGGTGGTGCATGGATGCGGCGCACGGATTCGACTCATTTTGTCAATGCTACTCTACAAGCTCAACCTATAGTGACTGCAGGTCATGCTCCAGTGCATCAACAATTTTTTGAGGGTATGTCTGATCCTATAAGGCTGAGGGTTTCTGATCATGCTTATTTAGGTACATCAATTGTCGATGGTGCACGACAGCCTTGTACTTCTGCTTATTGTGTCCCGACTATGTCTTCTTTTCATTCTGAACCATTGATGACACCCAGTCACTACGCTCCTGTGCAGCCGGGGTACCCCCGGGCCGGCGTACGCAGTGCGCCATGTCAAACTGCCTCTGCCAGGGACCCTGCACAGCAGCGTACAGTGCCACCTAGGGGTCCAGACTATCAACCAACAGTGACTGTTCCTGCCTCCACATGTTCTGTGTTGAGAGCGGGACAAACAACCATTCCCTATGGTGAATCAAATATGTACTATTTACCTGATGAATATCCACCAGTGGCTCCAAGGGCGATTGGTAATCACCCTCCACCACGACCTACGCATTCATTGGTGCATGTTCCAAAGGCTGAGAAGACCCCCGATGATGATCCAGTTACAGTGTTGGTACCTCGTGCATTGTTTAATTCCAATTTTCTTCCATCAGGTCAGGTGGCGCACTCTACTCCAGTGGATGCGCCCCCCAAGGCGGATTACAGCAATGCAAGAGTGTATGCGCCATCATCTGCGCCCAGCGCTGCGGATGCATCACGTTCACCTGCCTTCAAGTTGCCAAAAATAACTGCATTTGATGGTAAGGGTAGCCTGAAGGACTATCTTGCACAATTTGAAATGGTCGCCTTATGTCATGGTTGGTCTCCTCCAGTTAAAGCGGCGCATCTGGCTGGTAACCTACAGGGTAATGCATTAACTGTGTTGACTGGTTTAAGCCAAGATGAGCGCTTTAATTTTGATCTTTTGGTGGATGCTTTGAAATATCGTTTTGATCCTCCAGATGAAGGCGAGACGGCCAGGGCGGAGCTACGAGGGCGGATAAGGCGCACAAATGAACCCTTGACTGACCTTGCGTCTGATATCAGGGGTCTCATGAGTGAAGCCTTCCCAAAGGAGTCCAAGGAGGGCCTTGAATACCATGCGATGACCAAGTTCATTGAGGCCCTCAATGATGTTAACATGGAGTGGGAGGTGTCAAGTAAAAATCCAAGGAATTTGAATGATGCCCTATTGCATGCCCTGCGATACGAGACCTTTTATAAAGGCCGGGCCCAACGTACCGCTACAGTTGATATTCAACCCGCACGTGTTATGGCTGTATCGCAGGAGCAACAATTGGTGCAGAACATGATAGACCAGATGTCGCAGTTGACAGCAGCTATTAACTCCAATTTGAAGAGCTCCGGAAAGAGGTTCTGTGTCATCTGTAACCAGCGCCAGGGACATGGCCCACGAGATTGTCCCGATCGGTCCCCATTGTCCCGGGCGCCCGGAAGAAGCTGCTGGAAGTGCGGAAACAAGAACCACCTTTTGAATGAATGCCCCTCCATTGTTGGACAAGAGAAAACAGCATCAAAAAACTAAGTCCTGCTGAAACAGAGCCCAGTGTTTCAGTAGGTGAAGAATGGGCAGGGCCAGCGTCAGGAAGTGCAGTACATGATGGTTATTATTTGGTTCTGCGAATCGGCAAGCTTCAAGTACCTGCACTTATTGATACTGGCGCCACCTATAGCTTAATGTCTACCGAAGTAGCGAAGATGATCAGCGCATCGATCGATAATAGTCAGCCTCCAGGAGTAACAGTAGCCAATGGTCAGAGGATGGTCAGCCATGGTAAAGCTGACATCAGATTTTCCCTGGGACAAGGAGTCAACATAACCTACAATATGGTGGTGGCTGATGTTTCATCGCCAATTATTCTAGGATTTGATTTCCTGAGAAGCTTTAAGGGAGTCTTGGATGTTGTTGAGGGTACCTTGCTCCTGCAGGGGAAGAAATTTCCTTGTGTATTAGAGAGCAATTTGCCTGTTTTATGCTCCGTTGTAGTAGCAGAAACTGTGCAAATACCCCCCATGACAGAGATGATTATCCCGGGAGAAGTAGATTGTCCAGGTTTAGGAAGCACTCCTCTATGCGTTGAGATGTCTGAACATTACCTCAACTTGGATTCCGAGATATTACTGGCTAGATGTGTCGTGGATCCCAGTCAGCACCACGTCCCGCTGAGAGTGGCCAATCTCAGTTTGGAGACCAAAGTTCTGCGAAAGAATTCCGCCTTAGCTGTGGGTGAGGTATTGGCCATATCGCACTCCACTGCTGTGGCGCCGGATTCGCAGGAGTGTTCTGACCTGGATGATAGTGAAAGTTCTCCGACTAGTGCTGGTCCCACTTCCACTAGGACGTCTGTCTTGTGTGGAGAAGGCCATCTAGAGGAAAGAGTGGACCCCAAGGTGGATGATGATTCCCTTGGGTTGGTTTCCCCATCTAGTGCCGGACCACACCGGATGCGCCAGGCTGGGTTGGAGCCGGGAGTGGACCCTCCCTTAGGTGCGGGTGGAACTGACACGGGGGCAGAAGCAATGGTCTCTAGTTCGGAGAAGGATGAGGTCCCAGCCCATATACAGACCATGGTAACGGAGGCAACCAAATTACTACAACCAGATGAGGCAAAACAAGTGGCTGAATTTTTGGTCCAGAAACATCATGTTTTTGCCCGGTCCAAATTAGACCTAGGAAGGACCGATATTATACAACACAAAATAGACACTGGAAATGCGAAGCCTATCAAGCAACATCCTAGGAGGGTTCCATTAGCCAGACAAGAAGCCAGCAAACAAGCTTTACAAGATATGTTGGATCTTGGCATTATCGAGCCATCCACTTCACCATGGGCGTCGCCGGTTGTGCTGGTTCCCAAGAGCGATGGCAGTTTACGATATTGCCTTGATTACCGACGTCTGAACTCTGTCACCTTGAAGGATGCCTACCCACTACCACGCATTGATGATACGTTGGACGCTTTATCTGGCGCAATGTGGTTTAGTTCTCTCGACATGGCGCAAGGTTACTTCCAGGTCGCCATGGATCCAGCCGATGCGCCAAAGACAGCCTTTTGCACAAGGGATGGCTTATACCAATTCAATGTCATGAGTTTTGGTTTAACAAATGCTCCGGCCACCTTTATGCGATTAATGGAGTGTGTCCTTGCAGGTCTCACTCCAGACTCCTGCATGGTCTATCTCGACGACATAGTAGTTTTTGGGCGCACCTTTGAGGAACATTTTGATCGATTGAAGGCTGTGATTGAGAGGTTTGAGGTTCATGGTCTTAAATTATCGCCTAAAAAGTGTGTGTTTTTCAGGCCTTCTGTCAAATATCTAGGTCATATAGTTTCTAGGGATGGTATTTCTATTGACCCTGCCAAGGTAGAGGAAATCAAAACTTGGGCGACACCACGAACTGTGCGCCATGTACAAGCATTTCTGGGTTATGTCTCATATTACAGGAAATTCATAAAAGATCTTTCTTCCTTAGCCCAGCCTCTATTTGAACTCACTAGAAAAGATGTGCCTTTCAGATGGACTGCAGAGTGCCAGAAAGCCTTTGATGCACTTAAAGCTAGGTATATTGCCAGTGCCATGCTCCAATACCCTGATAAAAACAAGCCTTTCATTTTAGATACTGATGCCTCTCTGTGTCAGACTGGCGCTGTGTTATCCCAGCTGGTAGATGGTGAGGAGGAAGTAGTGCAACACTTCAGTAAAACCCATACAAAATCTGAACGCAACTACTGTGTAACTAGGTTAGAACTTCTTGCAGTGGTGAAAGCCGTCAAACATTTTCATCCTTATTTGTATGGTTGCAGGTTCACCGTGCGCACTGATCATGCTGCACTAGCTTGGCTGCTTAGGTTCAAGGCGCCAGAGGGTCAGATTGCTCGCTGGCTTGAATTACTTGGTAATTATGATTTTGATATTGTTCATAGGTCTGGCAGCAAACATACTAATGCAGATGGGATGTCACGCCGACCTTGTGAGAACTGCAAATACTGTGATCGCCAGGAAGCCTTGGGGCGTGTTTCCATTCTGCCGCCCTCTGATGATGGTGTTGTTTTGACTAGATTGAGCATTCAGATAGACACTAAGCCTAAACTGCAAGTTCGTACTGTATCTAAACATGACATAAAACCTGATAAAGACCCTACTGTTCCCATTTCAGGTAGCAACTGGATGCCAGGGGTGAGTGAGGACGAATACAGGGCAGCATTGTGTAGTGATCCGGACCTCGCCCTGCTTGTTAGTTGGCTTGAGAAAGGTGTGCGCCCTGACTGGGCCCATGTTGCTTCAAAATCTGTCAATCTCAAACATTATTGGGGTCAGTGGGAAAGATTCAAGCTAAGTGGTGGACTAGTTCTAAGAAAATGGCTACGTAGTGATATTCAAGATACTATCTGGCAGCTTGTTATTCCATCTCAGTTGCGTAACATTGTATTGTCTGGGGTTCATAGCGCCTTGGGTAGTGGTCATTTGGGGGTTGGTAAGTCAATAAATAGGCTCCGGGAACGTTACTACTGGGTTGGGTTTAAAGCTGATCTTGCTCGATTTGTAGCCCAGTGTGTGCCCTGCCAGAAGAGAAATCCTCCGCACCGGAAGCCCCGAGCCCCCATGAAGCAGTACAATGTTGGAGCCCCCCTGGAGAGGATAGCTGTTGACATCATGGGTCCTCTCCCTGAGAGTGCTCCCCTGGGTAACAAATATGTTGTAGCCATTGAGGATTATTTTACTAAATTTCTTGAATTAGTTCCTACTGTTAACCAGGAAGCTAGGACTGTGGCGAATGCAGTTTTGAGGGAATTCATGTTGCGCTATGGTATTCCTTTACAGCTGCACTCGGACCAAGGTCGACAGTTCGAATCTCATTTGTTTCAGGAACTTTGTGATCTCTTGGATGTCGACAAGACCCGTACTAGTCCTTATGCGGCCCAAAGTGATGGCATGATTGAACGATCCAACCGCACCGTTGAAGCCATGCTCGCCAAAATTGTCTCTGACCACCAGCGCGACTGGGATTATTATTTGCCCTTTGTTGCTTCCGCTTACAGGAGTGCTGTCCATGAGACAACAGGATTTTCCCCAGCTGAGCTGATGTTTGGGAGGAGGCCTCTTATTCCATCTGATTTGTATTTAGGTCCCCCACCAGCCTCCGCACCGGTGCTGAGCACGGAGTACTGTAATAAACTGCATGACGATCTTTTACAGGTACATGAGGCTGCTAGGCGCCATATCAGCATTGCCAGTGATCATCAGAAGAAGAACTATGATGTTAAAGTTCATTTCCAGGGTTTCCAGGAAGGCGATGCTGTGTGGCTGCACGTTCCCGCTATTAAAGTGGGACGTACGCCTAAGCTCAGCAACAAGTGGCACGGTCCTTTTAAAATTACTAGAAAAGTGTCTGATTTGCTATATGAGGTTCGGCTGGAAAGGGGTAGGCTGTCAGTGGTTCATTATAACCGCCTGAAGCCTTACCATGGTCCAGCGGAGCCGCCCTCTATTGCAGATAAACCCGTGGAAGCCCCTGTTGTCATGGATGAACCCTGTGAGGAAGTTCCGGAGGCGCCCTCTGTGGCAGATGAGAACCTTCCCCCTCCCTCTAGACGTGTTAGGAAGAAACCTAGCTGGCTAGATGGGTATGTACTGTACTGATTTTCACCTTTGTATAGTTGTTCTCTTTGCTTCCAGGAGTGCAAGGCCCGTGTGAAGGTCTACCAGGGGGGTGAGGAGGTGTGGCCAATGAGACCATGTGGGGCCCTTCTCCATTCTTGGGCAGAGCTACAGGCCCACTACTCAGAGTACCATGAAGAGCAGCAATGCGCAGAGCCAGCCTGTGGTTTCCTTGCGCGTGGCCAGGCAGAACACAATCTCCATGCCCGTCGCCATCGTCAGGGACTTTTGGTGCCCACCAACCAATCAGAGGCTTCGGCTGCCCCCAGGCGCCAATCCAGCAGGTCACGCCCCCGGGCGCAGGGCCGCCAATCCAGCCAGTCACGAACCAGGGAAGAGCGCTGGACCTCAGTTTCGCACACCACATCTAGGCGTGACCGAGTAGCCTCACCACAGGCATCAGCCGCCCCTTCTAGGAGCGTTACTTGGGCCCAAGAGCGCCCATCTCAGAGGGCCGACACACCACCAGCCCACTCCAGGGGCCGGGTTGACCATCGTCTTGGACAGGTGGCGCCTAACCGCAGGCGCCGGGGTAACAGGGCGGGGCGCGCTGTGCAAGAGAAGCGCGCCCGTTCGCAGGCAGCCGCCCAGAGGGCTGAAGAGGCTACTAGGGCCGGGTCTAGGCCCAGGGACAAATACATACCCGCTGGGGCTGAAGGGAACCAACAGCAGGCCCCGCAAAGAAGTAACTTAAGAGGGCGCCCTGAGAAATTATACCCTCCTTCATCTGCCGCCCCTGAACAACAGCGGGGCCGCAGCAGGACACGGTCTACTGAGAGTGTGCCCCCCCGTCGGGAGCCTTCAGTCACATTTGCAGCCCGGGATTATCGCCTGGGGCTGTCCAGGGAGTCTGCTCCTGTTGCCAGGACAACTGCCCCAACTCTCCCTACACCACCAGTGTTTGGACGGGGTCGCACTACACCATCCCCGTTGGGGCGAGGCCAGGCTCTTCTGAGAGTGGTGGCCCAAGTACAAGATGACAGCTCTTCGGGCCGGCGAGTTTTCCGGGAGGTACCGGCGGCCGCTGCAGGGAGCGCCACCCAGGCGGCTAGTGATAGCGCCACCCAGGCTGCTAAGGATAGCGCCCAACAGGAAACCCCACAGGGAGAGACGCCACCCCCTTTACAGGTGGAACTCCCCACTGAAGAGGAGGATCACCCTCAGATCCATGTGGAGGAGATGCCAGAAGATTTCCTGGATGCAGACCTCTAGGGCTTCCAGTGATAGAGACATTTACCAGTTCTAGTGACATTCAGCATTTTAATTGACTTTTATTATAATATTATTAGCTTTAATTCTGACTCTGTACAGCAACCTGTTATTAGCCTGGGCTGTCCTCACTTAGTTAGTTATATTTATTTTTGAGGGTTATGCAGTCCAGGTTGAGCAGTTGGTTGCTATTGAGGGTAAAGCAATAGTGTAAGCTTTGCGCAGCATACTGACTTAAAGGGCTCTGTATATATGTAAATACTCAAGCAATCATTCCTGTGCAGTATTATATGTATATAAGTTTGGCATTTTATTGCCTGTAATTTTCTTGCCAGTAATTTTTTATCAGGGATTTCTGATTATGTGATTTTATGCCCTTTGAGACAGTGTGCTGCAGCAATGCTTTCTTCCTACTTTTGTACATTTTATTTATTGGCCTTTCTCAGAGGGGAGGTATGTAGCGACCCGGGTTGGCTTTCGATACTTTTGAACTTCCGGTTAGTTTGACCTTCCTGTTGGGGACCTTACACGAAATTTTTGACGCCAACTTTCCCCCGGTTCGCTACTTCCCTTCGCTCTGGAGCGCGATTTTGCCCGCTGCTTTGTGCCATGGTAAGACCTTTATTCTATAATTAAAGGTTCCCTGTAAATCAGGTTTTCAAAATCCATTTAATACTGGGGAAACATACTTATAGCCACTTTCTTGCGGGGTAGTAATTTTATGTAAGGGAGGTCATAGCCTCGCTTTAGAATCACAGCCATCTTTTACCGACACGACAATTTTCCGAAATATCATCCTTTCCACGACAACAAAAGCGAATACTACTGAGAATATTGAGATCTGAGGTTCCTAGAGACGAAGCAAGTGACAATGAGTGAGAACAGGTGGCTCTGGGTATGTTTCCCCCATTAGTGGCGCTAAGAGTTTGCCAGATTTGAGTTTTGTCTGTTTTCGCCCGAAACGGCGTGTTTTTGACCAAAGTCGCCATCTTGGATTAAGAGTGGGCGCCTTGAATTTTCAATCATTTTCCACCTTGATTTGGCAATTTCCGAAGCGCCAGGTATCATTTTCCTGGTCTTTGTAACCATATTTTTATATTCTTGAATTCAATTGAGACGCTGAGCTAATTTCATTTCACATTTTTAGGCCGGAGGTGGCCAGTTCTTTTTGACATAACAAGGCAGAATGTAATTGATTTTTGATTTTGTCACCCTTAGAATCTGTGCCCATCCATACTCTGGAGGGTTGCAGACTGATTTATTCCTAGAGCAAATAGGGCTAAGACCTTTAATCTTGTTTATTTAGGCCATTTAATTGAGCTTTTGAGAGTTTCTGCCAGTTTTCATTCCAATTTTGCTGCTTAGCGCTCATTTGAGTTCAGGGATATTTCACTACCTCAGAGCATAGTATTATTACTGCCTGCTGAGAGTCAGGGTATTTTTGGAACCGTTGAGCGCCAAATTTCACCTAGATTTCACTTAAGCATATATTTTCAAAGAATCTCAATAACTTCAAGGTGAACATTTTGATAAATATACTTTATAAACTAGATCTGAGCTTTTAAACACATCTGAATCTGATTATATAGTATTTCACAGAACCCAGTATTATTTGGATAAAGCATATTTTATTCACTTGTATAATATATACGTTGTGCCTTTGAGAGTTTATAATCATACATGTACTGGTGCTAATATTTTCTGCAATATTGAACTGCTGATATTTTTATACAGATTTTGTATTTGATAACCAGGTGCTCCAGTCGCTCCATCAGGAGCTGGAATTTTGTACCATTTACTTTCTAGGGGCGATTAACTGTCCAACCCATAGCGCTCTGATATCGCCTTTATAGGCTGGATTTTTGTACTTTTATTTTCAGGCGCTTTTGTCTCAGCTAGGCATAATTAGGGTACATTCATAACTTCATAGCTAGATAGTTTTATAGTTGATATTTTTACTAGTCAGGTTCATTATTGTGTCACAGTCAGTGAAAATGTAATTTTGATAACAGATATCTTTCATTTATTTTTGTACATCAAGAGAGGATATTTACAAATAATTAAACAATCATTCTAGAACCTACTTGCTTGTCGTGTTATAGTTTGTGGTAATTGAGCTGGTTAAGATTAAATCCACAAAAAAGATTAAAGCCATTTCAATCATCTTCACATTTTACTGGGTCCCCTGATTCCTTCACATAGCCATTTGTTCAATTAGTAATTTTAGCTTTTAATCCCATTTATAGAGGGCAGGACTGCATAGTCAGCTTTTAACATTACAATTTTGGGTTTCACTTTCAATACATTCTTTTACTTTATATTCTCATCTAAAGGGGGCAGCACCTGACTGAACCACTTAAAACAACACAGCTCCATTCATCTCAATTTCGAACTTGCGCCAACCGTTCTTTTCACGCTACCACAACGTAATTTGTACAGGGGTAACTTTGTGAATAGTTTCTTGTGTATCATTCCCCTGTACGTAGCAGTGTTGGGAGACTGTCCTGAGCTGTTACAGTATCTTTTGAGAATTTTTAAGAATTGGTTCCACTATTCTGGTCAGTCGTTAATATGAGAAATGTGTTACTGAGCAAACCTAGAATCTAACAAATTTAGTGAAGAATAGGGCTTTTTAAACAGGAGACTTAATTTGGTTTTCTAAGCTTTTTATCTTATCTAACAGAGCTTTTTCGAAATGACTATCATTGTTTTAATTTACTATGGGGTCTTTTTTAAATAATGCACACGCACATTTTTGTCTGAAGTCTTTCTCTATGGCCCATAGCAAAGGTGGCTGGGGGGAGGGGGGTGTGGGCTCGTGCGATCATGAACAATTTTTTTCTATTTCTAATTTTTGCCCCAAAATCTGCTCCTCTTCACATTTTGACAATTTCGATAGAAAACTGGAATTATTGGGTATTGTTTTGAATATTGGGCATTATCTTAACCTTTTTTCGTCTCCAACCCTCTGAATTTTCGGGGTCGCCCCAGGTGTTGGTTAAGCATGGAAACATTTTTATGTGTGGGCACTCGGCAGGGGGATGGATTCGACCCCCCCCCCCTTTTACCAAAAGCTGGCTACGTTCATGTTGCTTATATTGCATGTGAAATATTAAAGATTGCAATGGATGCAATCATTTTCATTGGAATCGAAATAAAAGTATTCTGGCACTTACAATGACTAAGATGTGCAAGCAACATTTATCATTTCGGGTAAAGGCAAAACATTCATCATAGGGAACGACAAACGTCATTCAAAATATAATATCATGAAAAAACACACAGCGTGGGCAAAAAGGGAATGGGAAACATCAAAGTAAGTTGTATGGTTATGTGTCGGTCGTGGAAATAAAGAAAGTATAGCATGTGTAATAGGAATGTAAAGGTAACATGCATCGCTATTCCCACAAAGTTATAACATGATCATATGAGACTGAGGCAACTGAGAGTGAAATATATTGTTTCCTTGTTTGGCAATGACTCATACTTTGCTGTAATTTAAATATAAACATAAAAATACAAATACAACTGACTTTTGATTGTACGTTTATATTTCGCATCATTTTAAAGTCATTTTGTGTTATTAAAATTTGTGATGTAAACAGAGTAATTATAAGAAGTTAGTGTAGATATTGAGCCAATTTACAAGTAAGTGTGAAATAGTAAGATTAATTAGTAGAGTAAAAGTTAGAGGCAGTTAGAAGAAGTTCAGTTGACCTCAGAGAGAGATAGAGTTAGAGAGAGAATATAATGAGAACCTGAGCTGAGATGAGATATGAAACAATTAATAAACATAATTAGAAGCCTAGAAACCTAAAATAAGAAGTTATATTCAAGAACAAATAATACAAGAAGCAAGCTGTAGAAATATTAGATCATCGTTACGGGGCGCCCCCTAGAAGATAACATCAGGACATCCTGTATCCGAAGGTAAATGAACAGCTTCTTTGGCATGGTGGCAGCGATACCAGAATCAACACGTCTTCAAGGGCAGTTAGTGAGAAAACCGTGTCTTCAAAAGCAGTAAGTCATGAACTACATTACTTTTCCAAGGCTTTGGTGAGGATTCAAGAGATGAAGATTATTTAACATTTTGAAACTGAGATTTGCTTGGGAAGCATAGAGATCCAGATTGAGATGATCTGCATGAGAATTTGAGACATTGCATTAGAGAATTTGAAACACTGCAATTGAGTAGAGAAATTGAGCAGAGTAAAATCTTTTGAGAAGATTCAGAGTTTGAGAAACAAAATATTGAGGTCAACTGGGTACATTAATATACAGATTGAAATTGAGTTATGCGTTAGTAGATTAGATTAATTAGATACATTAGTTGAATTCAACCAACAGCAAGGTTCAATTACAATTAGCTTTTAGCCTTGTTTGAACTGCCTTGTATGAAAGTGGCAATTCAGATTTGACTATAGCAATTCAAGGTATTAAAATGAGCCATTTAAAACAATCGTTGTATTGACAAAACAAACAAGTGTTCTGGTGTGATAATGATTAGAATCCATGGCCAATAATTTCAGTACAGTGGCCCATTGGTACAAAATATTTTAATACCAAATTAGTTTTAGATTAATACAGTGGCCCACTTTTATCAGACATCTACTAGCAAAATGTTTCACTACAGTGGCCCATAAGTACCAAATATTTAACAACTATATATTTTAAAAAAAATTCCCCTACAGTGGCCCATTAGCCTCTTTTAGCTTCAATTATTTTCAACTCTATAGTATATTGATTGATATATCGAGTACAGTGGCCCATAGATAATAACATTTTCAATACTTCATATAACAACATGTTATAAAAGTACATAGGCCTATTAGGACCAAACAATTTACGCGTTTATTTCCATACAGTACAATATACTAAGACAATATTTTCCGCATATTTCAATGGATTTATGTTGTTGTAAAAATTAAAACGCGATTATACAACAATTACTCATGCCAGTTGATACAAGGAATACAAAGTATCATAAAGGATTACTAGAGGAAAATCCAACAAAAGAAATGGAGGATGATAAAGAGAAAAAGAAGCAGAAAG